ACCCTCTGGAGTCTGCTCACTTAACGGATGCTCTAGAAACACAACTCTGTGTCTCTTTCCTTTGCTTCTTTTTAATGAGATAACTTAATGCTCAGTGAAAAATGGTTAAGGATTTATAAACTTTCTTTTTCTGAGTCAGCATTTCTTCTAGGGAACATGCAAACTTAAGTAGAGAAATGTGGAGGAGTTTTAAAAAAATATTTATTTTTAGTTTTAGGTGGACACAATATCTTTATTTTATTTCCATGTGGTGCATGGAATCAAACCCAGTGCCTCACGCATGCTAGGCAAGCATGCTACCACTTGAGCCACATCCCCAGCCCCAATGTTGAGGATTTTAATGAGACTGTTGTGGCAAAGCTGCCTGAATTCTTGAAGCTGCTGTGGTCTTCCTCCTGGGCTCCTCAGCAGTGAGGAGCTGAGTTTTCCCTAAGGCCCTTCTGTGGGTCCTGAAGGTTTATCTATCGGCAGGATCTTTGCATCTGCACCTCCCGCTGTCTTAACCCTTCCTGTGGGTGGCTCTTGCAAGCTCTGCTATGTGTCTATCTCATGCTTCTTCCCTTCCTTTCTCTTTCCTCCTTTGGATATTTTAGAACCATCCCTCTTTATTTTTAATTTACAGAACATGAATCATAGAGACAGAAAGTTGGAAGTTGTCTTAGGAGCACTTACTCCAGCTTCATCAGTGGGTGCTGTTGGTTGACCTCAGGGTGGCAGGACCCATGCCGGAGCTCCGCCACAGACTAGCTGTTGAGGCAGTAACGGCCTTCGAAATGCATACTTGTTTATGTTGGAGTCCTGCATGAAGTCTCAGTGGAGGTAGTTAAGGAAATTTGGCAGTGCCACATAATTACTTGAACAAGGACTGGGATTTTTGATTAACACCATGGACTGTTGAGCAAGCAGGAATCCTAAGGGCCTCTTGGGCCCACACCCATCACTGGGCTCTGGCTCAGGGGCTGGGGTGAGGGAGATAAGGGACTTTGATAGCAGTTTGCATGATATCTTTGTTCTTGGTTTTCTTAAAGTCAGCTGAGACAACACACTTTCCTTGGAGAAGGTAATTTGGCCAGACAGGTGTTGGTCACAACAACAACAACAACAACAACAACAATAACACTCTCACCAGCACTGAGCCTGACTTGCTGCAGCAGAGGGGACTCTTGAAGCTCCTTCAGAGAGATAATGAATGCCTTGCACAGCCCGTAGGGATCCAGAGCTGAGCTTGCTTCTTGGGAAAACTGAGTGTTTGAGAAAATTACGCCTTTACTGTTGTCTTGTTATCAGAATCTGCTACAGGCTTACATTGAATAGTTCTTACAAAAATATAAGAATTGTCCTCTTTTATAACAACTGGGGGCCATATTACCCTGAACCCCATTATAAGATAACACGTAGCCTTTTTATTCTTTTCCAATCTAAAGTCTCATCATGCAAGAAGTGGGGTGCTGGGCCTCCCTTTGATGGACTTTAACAAGTCTGCTTTCTCCAAGAGAGTTTTTCCTTTACACCCTTTACTCTTCCCACCAGATCCCCAAATCTGCTCACATGGCTGAATCTTCTCAGCCTGGGTGGTGACGGTGGGTTTGAGTTGATCTCTGATGCCTTTGAGTCATTTTCCATAATCTAGATAATAAGAAGATGCTAAAAAGAGACCCATATTACAGGCTCACTGGTGGTGGAGGAAAAATCAACCTCTAAGTTTTCTTGTTTAATCTTCCTATTTCCTATGTAGGGTACAGAAGAAAAATTACCTTTGATAATACTGGATGATACCTTTAAAAATTACTTCTTAGCCTTATTCTTTTTTTGTGGGGGGGGGGACTAGGGATTGAACCCAGGTGTGCTTTACCACTGAACCCTTTATATTTTATTTAGGGACAGGGTCTCACTCAGTTGCTTAGGTCCTTGCTAAATTCCTGAGACTGGCCTTGAAATTGGATCCTCCTGCCTTAGCCTCCTGAGTCACTGGGAGAACAGGTGTGTGCTCTATGTACAGCAGTCTCATTCTTAATATATAGAATACTGAGCACTGACGTTGACCCCCTATGTATGTTACTGACTCTCTGCCTATGTATGTATCTATCTATCTTTGCTAAGAGATAATCTCTTGATGAGCAAAAGGTTTATAAATAAGATTATTTTGATTCACTTTTCCCCATCATATTAATTTGAAAAAGTAGTATCTTCTTATGAATTAGTGAAACTAAAGTAGTGGTTGAATAGAAATATGTGTTAGCCAGTCAAATAAATGAAAAGTAAAATAAAACCATGCCACAAATTAGATTCTCAGCCTTTTAAACTGAAATAAAAATCAAGCAGCAAATGTTTTATTTTTTCACAGATAATCTTTTTTTTAAAAAATTCCAAATAGTACTTTAAATTGTACTACTTATAGTATTTTATTTTTTTCATCAGTTTCAAACTTTGAAGAGATGAAATTCTTAGCCTTATTTTCAATTATTTGGGAATATAGGAAGCTAATTGACATATTTGTTTAGTGTTATTACCAGTGATATTGTTTGTTACAATCATCTCAATAGTCATTTAGTCTTTTTATTTATTATTTTTAAAATTGAAATTGAATAATTCCCCATTATTATAAACATCACTGTACATTTTAGTAATAGTGGTTTTCAGGAGCAACATAGAGGCATGAGGTTAGCTCAGTCCCATGGTTCTTCAATAGGACGAGGTTGGAAAACAGGTTATAACACCTGTTGTAAACTCTCTTGAGAAGCTGAGACCTTTCAAAATGACCTGAATAACTATGAGCAGAAAGGAAGTGAAGACCTACAAAGAAAAGGGTCAGCAGGAAGACCAGTTATGACAGTCCAGAAATGAAGAATCCCAAATCAGGGGGGTGGTTCTATAATTGGAAAAAACTGCACAGAAGATAAAAGTTATTGAGTAGGAATGATTAGAGGATTTGTGCTATTTTTCGATTTGGGAGCCCATCTTGACCACTGTTGACACAAACGTGAACTCAGGATTAGGTGTCTCCGGCAAGGCGTTCCTTTTTAGTAATCCAACTTATTATTTACTTTCATGATGATGTGTGAAATTCTAAAATATCCATATCTTTTGTGGCAACTTTTAAAAATATGTAGTTATTTTAAATTGACACATACAATTGTATATATTTAGAGAATATAATGTGGTATTTCTCTGTATGAATATAATGTGTAATGATTAGACCAGGCCAATTAATGTATCCATCACCTCAAACATTGATCATTTCTTTGTGTTGGGAACATTCAAAATCCTTTCTATACTTAGCTATTTTAAAATACACAATTTAATTGTCACTCACCCTTCAAGTCTTGGTAACCATTCTTTTCTCTCCTCTGAGATTCGCATTTTTAGCTTCCCCCCATGAGTGAGAAGATAATTTGCCTGTGACTTCTGATTTCCTGTGATTTCACCTAATATCCTCCAGCTCATGCATGTTGCTGAAAATAATAACATTTTCTTCTTTTTCATGGCTGAATACTATCCTTTTGTGACATACCACATTTCCTTTATAAA